TTCAATTTCACTTACGCTCCTTGCAACGTCCTGCGTAATTAAATGCAATGTCAGTCGTTATTTTCTGTCTTTATTCCTGTTCTTTTATTGTTCTCTCGCCATACGGATTTCTTTTTCTCATATTCTCTCACACTGTTGCCTCTTAGTGGCTTTATTTCTTTTCTTAGGGTGAAATGATTATTTAAGATTAATAATAAAGTTATCTTGGGTTTTTTGAGCAGTTTAAGCTAAATATTAGGTTGGTGCAAAAATAATGACGTAATGATGTCGTTTTTTGGCGTATTTTTACGTCAAAAAATGACATTATTACATCATTATTTTTGCACCAACCTAATAAATTCAGAGAAAAAAAAATTCTCGAATGCAAAATAAACGATCCCCAACCACGCGTATTAATTTGGAATTTCCCCCTACCCCTTCCCGGAGTTAATTCAAAAGTTACAAATTCATAAGCGTCGGGAGTCCCCCCCCCTATGGGCATTTATTAATATTGTAACCTTAGCAAGATTTTGTGAAAGCATTTTACTTAAAGACATTGATAGACATTTATGTTTATTTCTTCGGAAACTTGTTATAATTTGGAAAACCCGCTTTAAAATTTCCAACCACGCCATTCATTGACCCCCCCATGTTAATTAGAGCTTTTCACTTTTCATCTCACCCCACCACCGTTCATTAAAACCCCTATTTCCCAAATACTCATTTTTTTTAATAATCACTCCAATTTATACGAATCACAACTTTTATTTGACACCCCACAATAATTATTTTACTCGTCTGTTTTTCTGTATTCATTGAACTCCATATTTATCGACATGCAGACTGCTTGTTCCCAGTAAAAGTTACGGGTTATTCTTTTCCTATGTAGATCAAGTTTTTTTTTCTAATCTTTCGAGTAGCTCTTTACTTAACTATGTAAGGAAAACTACAGGGACATAATTTCATCATTGAACTGTCTGTCTTTGTATATTAGAGGCCCGTTTATTTGCGCATGCGTACATGTTCCAAATTACACGCAGTCTGCTTAAAAATAGAAAAAAACGTCTATAAACAAATCATGCCAGCATTTATAATATCTATTTTGTCCGACCTTTCTCCGACCTCCAAACCCCTTTTTCTTTGTAGCCTTGGCAAATTATACCCTGTGAGAAAACAAACGAAATTGAAAGAAGAATAATCTGTCGAGTCCGCAGAGAGAAAAATATTGAAATTCGAATTTCTTATATATATTTTTGCTCCCCCCAAAAAGAAATTAACTCCATTTCACGACCACGTTACCTCATAAATAAAATAAAACTAAAGAATCAAAAACAAACATTGTGATTAAAAAAAAAATAAAAATATTGATCCGACTTGTTGGCAATATCGCCCATTTTTTTATCGTCCGCCATTTTGCTGTGGCCGAGACTAGACAATAGCGTATTATGACGAATGAAGTATTGCTCATTGCAGTGGTGTATAAAACAAATGACCATCTTTCTTTTCTGGGCTGAGAAAAGCTACGGCAGATTTTGGCTTGAAGCCATTGAACGATTTTGCTAGATTACAGACATGCTCATGTCTACTGCAGTGAGGTTTTTTTTGCCAAAAAACAAAAGAAACCGGATGTTTTCGCATAAGTAAAAACGTATATATAACTGTTATATTCCGCGCTAATAGGAATATATACTTGAAAAGTAAGGTGGATAAAATAAGTACAGGTTTATTTAAAAAAAAACCAAAAAAAAAAAAAAAACCAGTACAATATGAATAAAGGTAACAGTTAAGCACAAGGTCATCGCAAGTCAATCCAGTAGTGAGTGCTACTATTGGAAGGTCGGTAGTAAGTCTGAACCGTACTAAACAGATCCCAACTAGTGTGTGTGTGTGGAGTGGTCCAAAATTCCACAAGCTCGTCTACATGATTTACATGTATGCATAAATAATAGATGGCTACTTTCGTTTTTGTAGCACAGTCGACATGTCTATGAAGGGTACTAATCCTTGTCATGTCTATGGGGGGGAATTAATACTTGTCATGTGCTCAGGCATATTTGCGTTTGTTTAACACTAACAGTGCCAACCTGTAGTTTAAAGTGATAATTAAAACCTTAGTCACTTCATGCCTACATATCCACATAAACTGCATCTGTTCCTATTACGCGCAGCAACCTAAAACAGCAAACCCCTATACATCGAGTGGCTTTTGGGCTTTATGTTATGTGAACAATTATTTTTTTTTAAAAAAAGAAGCGTTGTAAGTAATATATTTTATAAGAGCAATCTCTTGGTTTATCCTTACCACATCACAAGCTGTTGTGCAGCTCGAAACCTTGACGTTCATCCTATCAATAATACGAGTATCGGAAGCCGGACAATGGTTGCCACCTACTCTCTTTCCTTTACACCTTAAGTGTATCTTGTTAGCGCATGCTTCCTTGATACGCAACCATATTTTTATAAAGTTTTCTCAAAGGAAGAACACTTGCTCCTCGTCCCTTCTTCACGCGATCTTTCATTTTCTTTTCCTACCTGTTTCTATTAACCGGCAAATTTCCGATATTTTCCACCACAAGTAACTCTCTTCCTTCTCGCAGTCTCACGAAGCCATATTTGATCCTTTTTGCTCCGACTCTGGCTTAAAGCCACCACATATAATCACCTTCGCTTCAACGGAAACGCATGTATTTCTCTGACGTCATTGTCCGGTCAGATTTCCAACATGTAAATGGACAATCTCTGTGGACATAACGGCCAGTGGTTATTCTGCGTACTGACTACTTTCCAAGGCTATACCGTTTTTATTTAAATACACTTACGGCTTGCTTTGCTATAACCGGATGTTAGATTGATCATGCGCATTGAAGAGATGAGGTTTCGGTAGTTCTGGGACGATTTCTCTCCTTGAAGGAAGAGAAGTGGAAGCCATATTCAGTTTATAGGTTCATCTTTCGTCTTGAGGTAATTTCTATTTATCGTCTTGAGGTAATTTCTGTTTACTGCTGTCACATTTTTGTTTTTACTACACCGGCTCCTATTTGGACATAGATTTAGCTTAGTGGTAAAAGGCTGGTGTTGAGGCTTTGTTTAAAACCTAACACGAGGATTGTTGAAATGAAAAGGGAAAAAAAAGTTGCTTTTCACAAAAGAAAGAAATACCCTTTAATGTATGTTCTGTAACGTTCTGAAATATATTAGGTTGGTGCAAAAATAATGACATAATAATGTCTTGTTTTGACGCATTTTTAACGTCAAAAAACGACGTTCTTACGTCATTATTTTTGCACCAACCTAATATTTTTATTATCTGAGTATTTCGTTGTGGTGTAATGATTAGCAAAGTTGTTTCGCTAGACAAAATTACGACTTGGTTATCATTTTTATGCTTCACCGAATGCTCCATACTTGCAGCCTTGTGCCACATCCAAGTTATGCTTTGTAAATCACTATTTTTTATTCCATTGTTTTCTTTTTATTTCTTTTTCTATATGCCATATCGCTTCAGATTCATGGCTCTCCAAAACTCCCTATACTTTGTAGCAAGGTTTGTCTTTCCGCTCCCCACATCACTGCTCCGACATCCATTTACATATCCTTGTTAGTTCGATTGAGTAGGTCCTGTGAGTGTCAAATTCTTCAAATCCTGTTACCTTGTGTGTCCTATAAATTTTAACTGCCTCTTTCGAAAAGTGTCCTTTTTTTTCTGAATTTCTCGGACGAGGGGTTATCATTTACATACAAGCTATTGTCAACAAAAGAGGAGGACAATAGTCCTCAAGTAAACGTGTCCTTTTTGCTCCCGTTTTCCCTAAAATGGTATTCTCAGCATCGTTCTGTAAGGTCACATGTCTTTTGCATCGTCTCTTCTTCATCAGTTAGATCGTCCAACAATCACTACTACAGAGGACTGATATTATCTAAAAAAAAAAAAAATTATTTTCTTTGTTTCTAACGAAATTTTCCTGTTACCTAATACTGTCTTTTGTAGTAATCATAAATCAATTTGGCATGGATTATAGGGAACCCAGTGATCCATACTATTAAATAACAATGGTTAAATAGACAAGCTCTCTAACCTTTTCGGTGAGCTATCAGTGTGGCCGTAAATGTTTGACAATATCCGCATAAAGAAGAAACTTGAAACGACAGTGACGTGCTTTTAGCGACAACGGCTAAAAAATATAAATGCCGAACAATCTTCCACTGGCAAGAATTTGACCGCTAGTCGCAGTGAACAGAAACAAAACCTTTCTCATGATATCAGATTTTCTTCTCTTATTAATTTAATTTTTCTAATTTTTTATCGCAGGCCAATCTCTGTGAAGGCAAGGCTTTCATTGGTCAAAAGAAAATTTCACAGACGCGTGAATACTTTTAATCAGTCTTCTGTGAAGGGAGTAGGCAAAGTGAATTGTTTCGCACTCACTACGCAAGCGCCATTATTATTTCTGGCATTTAAGACCAGATCCAGAGACACTGACAAGTAATGGAGAAAACATTAATGTTCAATATAAGAATAAGAATAAGAATAAGAAGAAGAAGAAGAAGAATAATAAGAAGAATAAGAAGAATAAGAAGAAAAAGAAGAATAATAATAAGAAGAAGAGCAAAGGCCCATCACTCGGACATGATCACAGACGACGAGAATTGACATGGAATATTGACCGAATATAATGTAGATTTAAAGCTCTTAAAAAAAAAAAAAAAAAAAACAGCTCTCAAATTACAATGCACAGGGAGATATCAGTAATTCTATTGGGGGTTTGTTTTGATTGATTCGTTTTCTACAGCTTATTAACCATTTGCAGGTTATTTAAAGCCAGAAAATATTCTTTGTAAGAATTTTTTTATGAGGAGAAGATATAATAATAGTTCCGTGATACTAATTAACCCATAGCTGGGAGCGTGAAAGGTATTTTATGCGTAAGTGAATATAACGAACCCAATGGGAATTGGAACTCGGCGCTCCGATTAACAGATTATTAATTTATCCATTACATCAACCGTACATCCAATCTAAGAGCACATGTTGTTCCCAAGCGGTCACTCATATAGGTACTGACAAGGCTCGGAGTTGCTTAACTTTGGTGATCGTATGGGAACCAATGTTTCAACGTTATGTGGCCCTAAGCTCTTGTTGGGGTTGGGACTCTGGGTCTGATTGGAAATGATTGTGATAGACTCCTTGAATTGATCACCGATAGTCTATGCATTAAATAAATACAAAAATAATAATAATGTTGCTATAATGAAAGCTCACACCCTACGAAAGCTTTAAAAAATATTTACAAATGTGAAGGGAAAAATGTGATGAATCCATTTGTAACTTTAAATCTCTTGGTGGAACCCGAGAGTCAGTCAGTCATGTGACATGCATAATATGCACTTACGCGATCATGGATCATACGATACCTTACTGACGAGGCAGATTTTCCCCGCAGTAGGTTGCCATTTCTTTCTGCGGTAGACCAGTTGCCATCCAAAAATATAGAACCTGGTCTGTCCTGCTATTTACCCATAGTTGACAGTGGGGAGGGAGAAGAAGAGGATTCATACGTTTCCCAAGTGCATTAGCACGTAAAGGAACGTGATGGATTCGAACTCTGCTCAATCCGAGCCGCTATCCATTACTCCACTGTGCCTCCTGGTCCGAGAGTATATTATTACATTAGAGAAATCAAAGGAACTAATAGTAACTGTGCTTCCCCCTTCGTTAGGTCACACGACTATCACGCCATACTAATACTGTATTGATCGCGTGGAAAGACAAGACATCAGAGATATTACTTGGTTTCAGTGAAAGAAAGCTAAAATTGTTTAACGTCTCCTGTTAATACCTCACATATAACGGACTATTCCATTTTCATCGCGTTAAAAGACACCAAAGACGCTATTTGGTTTCAGTCAGAATGTGAAAGACAAGACAGAAGTGTTTAACATGTTTCAGTGAAATGGAAAAGTTGTCAATGTCAAATCTTTTTATTTGTACCTCCTTACTTCTTAAAATAACGGCCAGCAGTCATATCTATGGCAATATTTTGTTAAAGTTGTTAAGCTCCAATATTTAACGATGTGATTTTTTTTATTGTTTTAGAACTCGCCATGAGCTTATTCAATCAAGAATTCAGAAATTACAAATAGGAAAATCGTGAAATTTTCCATGGATTAAAAATAATAATAATATGAACAAAATAATTGGCGTACATCTTTCAATATTTTTCAACATTTCGAGAAGAGCACGATTTAAGACACCGTTTAACATTCAACGACATACTGTTGAAATGTTGTTAAACACTTTTTTTCTTTTTCTTAAATCGCGATCTTCTCTAAGTGCTAATTAATAATGATGATGATGTCAAAGAGAGAAAAACTCAAAAAAAGAGGAAGAAAAAGAAAAGTAACGAACGTGGTGACTGATTAATTAATTTGTTGATTTTGATGAAAAGAAGCGAAGTGTTTCTTTGCCTGATTGAGTTTGTTTTCGACTGATTTGCACTTGATTTTTGACAGTTTTAAGATTTCCTATATGTACAGGGTAACTACAGTGATAGCCAACACGTTTACTGTTAAATAACTAGAGTTATACAAACGAGAGTATTAATACATCATGTCATTCTCTAGCCCTTATCAGGGATACGAGTTGTGACAATTTAATTTCCGGAATTATTGTTTATTGCTTTTATCACTCAAGCAAACACTGTCGTCCGAGGACATCCATAATGTTCCAATTTTCGCCGCCTTGAAACATGAACCAGAGGAATCTTTCGTTGCCGAGCAGTAGAGAAAGTTTTGCGTGTTCATGATACACTGTTGGTGAAAGTAATGACAAAGTAATATGAAGCAGCGGATTAACACCAGATTTTATATATGAAGACTGGTAAAATGACTAGTGAAACGTTAGTCCTATTAAAAATGGCTTATAATGAGCATACTAAAAAGAAATAAAATATTTTGAGTGACACAAGGGGTGAAAGGAAGGGGCGAGAAGTATATGATGGAAATAACCTCAGGCAAAAAAGCCTAGAACAGACGCAAATGTTTATTTGGAAGTGCAGGAAATTTTACGAGAATCTTTTCGGAGGAAAAGACACAAACATGGAACTCACACGTGAGTTGCCAACGTTCATGCGCTGGATGCTTTAGATGTTAGCAATTTACTGGCTTAGATATGCATTAGAAAAACGAGCCTTATTTCCCAAACAAAGCTCTGCACCCATGATTTTTGGATATTTCCATGTTTGGTCCTGAAATGACAATGATTTACTGACATCCGACATCCAGAAGGCTTTCCAGTGGAGCAGTTCTAAGAATGTTTCCAGCAATGGCACCATTCTCTTATGAAATACATAACTTCACGATGGAGTAATTTGAAGGTCCCAACCGTAAAGAAAATGTCGGAAAAATTATTTTAGTCAAAACAGTGACAGAATATTGGCTGGCTACTCGTATCCGAGGATGCCTGTCTACTAGGATGGCTAGCCAATCCGTGTTGCAGACGCCCGCTCAAGTAAATGTGTGTTCGTTCAGCACCCACAGAACCCACTGTGGTTTATAAGCAAGTATTCTGAGAGGACCTACGTTACAGTTTCAGGGAGAGAGCGCGTTATCTAGCGTGATTAACGGCCTGAATACAGCTCAAAGCCTCAGTCACAGTGAATTATGACATCGTGACAGCACAACCATCGATGACTCCCCAAAGAGTTCCGTCTACCCAATTTCGCTCACAAGGCTTGGGTCAACCCGTGATATGCTTTTCCAGGCACTTTCCAAACGTGTCACAGGGTGGGATTGCCTCCCCCAGACAGATGGCGTTAAGACGTCAGCTTCCTTTTAAATCGAGCATGGTGAGATTCGAACCCGTTTCTCATGGTCAGAAAGTGAACATTCTAACAATTCGGCCAAAACACAGTAGTCCTTAACACCGCAAAGCTTATCGCCCGCCCACTCACCGTGCACTCAGAATTTATAACTACAGGATGCGATGTATAAACTGTTGCAATCTTATGATTTTAATTTCGGGAAAGCGCGTTTGTTTTCATTTTGTCGACTGCACATTATGTTAGAGACAGTTGGGCATCGTTTGTAAGAAAAAGAGCACCATGACAATTCACTCAGCCAGAAATTTGGAAACGACATGCTGTAATGCTTGACATTTGCACTGGAAGCTCAAATACAAACATTTCAGATTGTTTCGGTATCAAAGGATTCGGAAGGAGTTGGATGAGTCTAATAGTGATTAGGAAGGTGCTTGTAATGATCGCTAGTGATGGCGACGTTATGCCTCAGAGTCATCTTCCCACGGGGCGTCAGACAACACGGAGGCCTATATCAAGTGTTTTGAGGAGGTAGTGCTACCCTGGGTCAAGAGGGTGACGGCTAGGAGTTCCTATGTCTGGCAAAAGGACTCTGCACCATGAAACACAAACCGGAGAACCCAAACATGGATGTCAGACAATTTCTGCAACATCATCTTTTACACCTGACCACCCAACTCCCCAGACTGCCACCCCATTTATGATTATGTGTGGGGAGAAGTTGAGCAAGAGACAAACAAAACTCATTGTAACACCAAAGATGAACTGAAAACAAGCATTATGGGAGTATTCACTAATTTAAACAAGGAGGCCGCCCAGAACAGTTGGAGGAGATTCCAAAGAGGTGTAGAAGCCGTGCTTGAAGCCAATGGCGATTTTATTTAACAAATTTAATCATTAGCATTTCATAATATTCTTATGTCAGTGTTATTTTCAATTTTTGAGTAACTTAGACGACTATTTATCCATCGCACCCTGAACATAGGGAACAGTCCTCAAACATATTGACTAAGACGAAACCTTACAAACCTGACTTAAGCGACTGATATCGTCTTCCAGTTGCTTATGAGAGTAATATCCTTTTTTTTCTAGTTACCTACTTTCCTTTTTCACACCTTATTTTCCCTTGCTACAATTTTAGCAGTTGTGTTGTATAAAAATGGACACCAAATGGCTATATATATATATATATATATATATATATATGTGTGTGTGTGTGTGTGTATGAATATATATATATATATATATATATATATATAGTGTGGAGGAAAACAAATATTCGTACACACAAAATTCTTAATTTATTGTATTTCCAACTAATGAATAAACATACTTTTCATAGCATTAACTGCACACAGATGCATAATAACTAAATATGCATAGAAAACTGAAGAAAAAATGATTAAATCGAAATAAATCCCATTTCGCCATTTTAATGAGTGAAAAAAGTATTTGTGCATTGCAAATTTCAGATTTTAAAACTTTCAAATTGCTTTAATACTCGAGATTATTCAAGGGGAATATTCTACAATGTCCCAATAATGTTATCAGTACTTAGTTCAGGACTAAAACTATACAAACAGAACATTCTATAATTGATATTCGTGCAAGCAATTCTTCTTTCGGTTATAAAACATACATATAACAAACTATTTCTTATTTAACAATTAAAATATTTAATCCTTAAAAATGGCTAAATGTATAGCCGAAAGCGCTCGGATAAAAAGAACATTCGGACTGTTTTTATATATTTTATCATCCGAAAAGAAAACATTAGATCGCATGAGAAATTGTATAAAAAACTAAATAAAAGCACCTTGTCTGTCGTATTCAGTGATATATATATATATATATATATATATACAGGATTTACATATATACACGTATGTATGTTACGCTACCGCATATTATTCAAAACTCGCTTCGGTTGGCTCTTTGACCAAATTTTCCTCTTGTAGAACATCAGCCTTGTCTTCAGCTGTTTCTATGCCATCGAATTACCGAGTTTAATTTCGGTGATCTGACAGGAACAGGTATTTCATAATGACTCGTCCATAGAAAAAAAAAAAGAAAGAAAGATGGACAATGGTAAATTATATAGACGAATTTCCTTAAAAACCAAGCTAAACATATCCGGAGATGTAGTAATTAAACTCCTTTATAGCACCGAATGCTAGACCCCAATACTGGAACGACATTCGCCAGCTTGATGTCTTCCTTTAGTGGTGTCTTCGCACTGTCATTAGTTATAATCTCTAAGACAAATATCTATTAATCTGTTTTCAAAATGAGATATTGGAAGT